GTTTTCAAGGGCACTTGAAACTCCTTGAAAATTTGAAAATTTCGAAAAAGTCCTTGAAAACTCCTTGAAAAAGATGGATCTCTATCACGAAGCGCTAGCGATCTCTGAATTATTCCGTTCTGCTGAAGTTTTAAGGTAAGAATCTACAATTAGCATGATTTTGATGCTCCTTGAAAATGCACTTTGGTCCTGGGAAAAGTCCTTGAAAAGTCCTTAAATTTCGTTTTTGATACTCTGCACGGACCCTGATAACATTTGGGCGACAAAACTGAATGGATTCTAGTTTCTAGGATAGTAAAGTCTTTTGCTCTGCTCTGCTCTGCTCTGCTCTGCTCTGCTCTGCTCTGCTCTGCTCTGCTCTGCTCTGCTCTGCTTGAGTATCATTAATAACTGTCAAAATGTTTTATTGTTATTCAGATGGCAACCAATGTTGCAGAGTTCAACATCACAGCCTTAATACATGAGCTAACAACAGGTGAGAAGTACAAACCGCCAGAAAACATCAAGGACAATAAAAGAAAAACAAATCAAGCAACTATAACAGAAATTATTGAAGAGGAAGAAGAAGAAGAGGAAAAATCTGCAGATGACAAAGTTCCTCATAACAAACTCCAAAGTAAAAATACAGAAGGTAAGGAAATTCAAAAAAATCAATAAATACCGAGCGCACCACATAAAATGCACTTCAAAATAGCCGACTTAAGATATTTTGGTTCAGTGAYCATGCACAAAAGAATTGCAGACGAGGCTCCGGGGAAATAAAAGAAYAAATCAAGATTATCCATTGTTTTCCCGGAGCCTCGTGTGCGTTGTTTTGTACATAGTCATTGAACCAAAATATCTAAAGTTGACTATTCCTAAACAGCGTGTACGGCTTTGATTTAAAGAATCATAACCAACCGCCGTACCTTGCGAGCCGAAGCGCCATTTTAGGTGGACACGAAAATGGCGGATTCGTAGGATTTCTTAAAGTGAGCGCGAATCGTCTTCCATCCTTTCAGTTTGGACAGAAATACCTTTAACTAAGTACCTCACAGGTACTATCAATCTATAATCTATTGTATGCTTGACGCATTTAAACGATGTAGACAATAACACGAGCGCGCGCTGTATTGTGGTTGGTTGGGATTCTTTAAAAGGCAATTGTCAACCAGCATTCAATGTGGTCGTACTTTCGTTTTCTCATACATGAAAAATGAGGTGACCTCAAATATCCATTCGCAATTCGTTTCCATCCGTCGGTTTAAAGGTTAAACCTCACAATATGTTCATTCATAGAGCATAAAGGGATAATAAAGAGTAAGTTTTTGCTTATATTACGATGTATTTTTATTTTCAAAACATAAACAAAGCTCGAAAGGGATGCCGGTTAACCATGGACCAAGCCTCTCATTGACATACAAGCATGTTAATTTTTCATTTTATGAAAAACGTTTTACGACCCACAGATTTTTTTTCATTTCAGGATACTTAAAACTGGATGGATTCACCGTCCATTTCCTACCTCTAAACTGTGTTCCTGACCTGCACAAAAAAAGCAAATACTCACACCTATTTGACTGCATTTACTTTTCTAACAGGTATRAATCATTAAACGTTT